AATCCCCGCCGGTCTAGCTCCTGATTGACCGCTGCCACCACGCTAGCAGGTGGGCCCAGGCGCTGCACTCCGCGGCCCCCGGCGTGAGGCGCTCCCAGCCCCGCGTCCCGAGGGGGGGCCTGAAAGCCCCCACCCACTTGTCCCCAACCAGCGGTCCTCTGCTCTGGGCGGCCGGGGGCCCCCGGCGNCCGCCCTTCCCCTGCTGCGCCGGGGCCCCACAACAGCTTGCGGTCGCCACCGTCCCCTCCCCCGTGCTTCAGGATATTCTCCGCCATCCTGTCATGACCATCGTGGATTCTCTGGGCCGCGCGCATCAACAGGATCACGGCCGGCCAGGCGCGCTGCTTCATCTCCAGAAACGTCGGCGTGCTCACGTTCACGGCCTGGAGTGCCGCCTCCAACCAGTGCAGCCGTGCATCACGAGCCCGCATCTTCAACGTCGCCAGACTCGTCTCCACCCAGCCCCACTGTACCAGGTGTCCCGTAACCTGCCCTACAAAGCGCTCCTTCGAGGCCTGCTTGGCCTGCTGACCTATAAACTTAAGCACTCCGCGACGATGCGGCTCTATTGCATTACTAAAGCACGCACGCAGCTCAGTGACCAGCCCTGGGCCCACATTGGCCAAAGCGTCTACAACCGCCTCTTCCGCCTGCTCCAGCATCGCCGATACCGCGGATTTCACCACCCGCAGCCCGCATGGGCCTTCCGTCATGGCCCCAGCCTGGGCCATGACGGTCGCCCACAGCTGGGCGTTGGGGACGCGGTCCGCCTCCTCGAGATTCAGCGCCTTCCGAGCGGCCCTAAGTGCCTCCTTACGGCGGCTGTGAGCCTCCTGGACGTCCTTTTCTGTGACAACGCTGTAAAACGCTGGCTGCCCTACCGGGCCAGCAGCGGCCACCTGGTGCATTGTGGCTGCCCCCGCGTTGTTGGGCTGCTTTCCTCGAGGCCCCACGTTCGGCCCCTCGCCCAACTGCTGCTGCTGCTCCCCCTCTCCCTCTTCCTGGAGTTCTTCGCGCAGCAGTTGCATCCAGCCTTCCATGCCGTACCGCCTGATAAACCGCGCCGCGCTCCGCCTATCTTCACGCTCCGGG